ATGCATCCTCATTTCAAAATCGGGTCTTTCCGGATGTATTAGTTAAGGCTCTCAGGATGAAACCATCCCAGATTTGGGGCCCCCCGACATCTGGTGACTGGTGTCCTTGTAAGAGAAAGGAGAGGATTTGGGACACGGGACATATGTGCATGTGAAGGCAGAGACTGGAGGGGACGTGGCCACAAGCCCGGGAGCGCCGGAGTGGGGAAGGCAGAAGGCCCTGGAAGGATTGGGACCCTCCGAGGAAACCCCTCCTGCCCACACCTCAGTTCGGGCTTCCAGAACCATGAGAGAATAAGTTTCCGTTGTTTTAAGCCACGCAATTTGTTGTCATTTCTTCCACCAGCCTTAAGAAACCAGTATTTATTGGAAATGAAAAAAAAAACTTTACGTTTAAACCAAAACAAACGGCTCCATGGAAACAGCTTCATTCGCAACTTATATTAAAAAAAAAAACAGCACGATCTTGAAGAAAAACAGGGATGACCCCCCCATGGGACCACCAGGTGATCTGAGTGCTCAAGTCCCCGCGTGGCCGCGGGCGGGATGAGCCCCCTCACGCCAGCCGTCCTTCTGTTCCTCCTGGGGAAGGAAGTTTCCCTGCAGCCCTGGAAAACTGGTCTGTAAGCAGGAAAACCGGGAGCCAGAGTCAAGGTCACATCTTCGGGGACCGCAGAGCTCTCGGGCTGGGCGCGCGGCCTCCTGTCTCTGGGCCGCGGAGGCAGGCCCGGGGAGGACGTCTGCAGGCCGGCTGCAGGCAAGGGCTGGGCTGGGGGCCTCAGAAGGCTGGCGGGGGCGGGCGGAGGGGGGGCGCAGGAACACCTGGCCCCGAGCCCGCGACGCTGGTTCTGGAACGCCTTGGGGCGGAGCGCTGTGGGAAGGGCCTAGCGGGGCCTCCCTTTGTTTGCTGTCACGGTTTGGGGAGCACTCCCCCGTCCTGTCCCCTCGCTGCGGCTCCGTTCCAGAATACTCTGTACTTGGCCACCGACATGCCAAGCTGGAACTCGGGGAGCAAACACTCCCACATGTCATACACGTTTTTCAAGCAGAGATTAGAGAGTTTGAAGTGTGTGGAGGACAAACACACGTTAAGCTAAGCATTTGAAAAGGAAGGCAGGGAATTTAAGAAGCCCGCGGGCTGTTCACCTGGAGGAGGCCAGGAGCACTGGGTCGCGAGTGTGAGGGGGTGAGTGTGGGTGGGGGCGGGTGTGAGTGCACAGGCGTATGTGTGAGGGCACGTGTGTGCACAGCTGTATAAATCACACCTGTGAGTGTGTGTGTGTGTGTGTGTGTGTGTGTGCACTAGCATAAGCCGCACGGTGGCCGAGCCCAGCGCTGTGGCGGGCAGGGCACCCTGGTAGCCCCCCAGCCAGCTGGGGCCAGCAGTTTCCCTGGAGGGTGGAGCTCGAGGGGGTCCAGGCGGGTCCGTGGGCTCCTGTCCTTTTCCTCTTACTTCTGAGCGGGTGCGAACCAAGCCTCTCTGCCAACGCGACCCTGGGTCAGCCCCTGCCCGGGAGAACAGGTGGGTGGGCTGGCCGGGGCTTCTGGCCTGGCCCTGGGGGTCACTGGCCTGCTGGCCCCTTCACGGTCCTGGACTTTGGTTAGGAAGTCTGCGATTTCAAGCCACCCCGCCCCCCGTTTTCGATGGGGCTCAGCCTGGAGCAAGTCGTACTTTTTAGGCGTTGCGACTGGGGCTACGTGGGGGAGAGGGAGGGAAAGCCCAGAGTGTTTGGGAGCACCACTGGTTTGCGATGCTGACCACAGGTCAGTTTGGCCTGTGCCTCAAAAGTGAGCTTCTTGGAAGCACCCCCTCGGGTGGCTGAAAGGGTTTTCTTACGCTGGTCAGCGATCACGCTCTAGAATCCTCACTGTCAGAGCTTGGCCTCCAGGAACATTCTGAGTCCCCACGATCTGCGTTCTCAGGAGCTGCGCCTGGGGGTCGGGGGCGCAGGACGGGCCGGAGAGGAGCAACAGAGTCTGCTGACCGTGTCCCCACCTCCGGAGATGGCCAGCTCTGGGCCAGGGCACCAGACCCTCCAGCTACTCACTGACCAGCCACAGGGTGAGGGCTGCCCCAGCAAGGGCGGCTTCCTGGCTTGGGGGGGTCCGGGTGCAAAGTCTGGTGTGAGCCATTAACACCCACTCTCAACAGCACCTCATTTTCCTTGTTCAAGATTGATGAGATCCTAACATCACCCTGCAGTCCGTTCACATTCTCAGCGATCTCGCACGTGCCTGCTGTGGGCTGACTCGTGTCCCCCCCCCCCCCAGACTCGCGGGTGGAAGCCCTGACCCCCAGCCACACGGGATTAGCGTCCTCGCGAGAAGAGACACCAGAGAGCTTGCTCTGCACGCACGTGAGCACAGTGGGCTCCCGGGGACGGGCTCTCACCAGGCGCTGGGGTGGCCAGCACCTTGACCGTGGACTTACAGCCTCTAGAACCCTGAGCAATGAACGTCTGTTGTTTGAAGCCACACGGTCTGCGGGTATTTTGTCAGTCAGCCCGGTTGGCTAAGGCGACGCCTGGGGATCCCAGTGACTCCTGGGCTCCAGGAAGCTGCTGTCGCTTGAAGGCCACTGTCCCCGCACCACGGCCCCTCCTATTAGACGTCTCTGGAGTTGTGTCATTCACATCCCTTCGTACTGGTCTTGTACTAATCTAAGAGCACGGGCATCACTAAGGGTAAATGGATGGATATGACTGTTCGCAAATACGACGTCTCTGTGTGGCTGCAAGTATGTAAACCTCAAGCCAGGAGGGAGCGGCCACAGAAATGACAGGAGAGTTGATTTCCTTCGTTTATGAGGAGCTGATAGGAAAACACGCACGGGAATTACCGGGTGGCTCCAGGGACAGCAAATGCACATTGTCAATAAAATGCACAGAGATCCTGGGGGCGCCTGGGTGGCTCAGTCGGTTGAGCATCCGACTTTGGCTCAGGTCATGATCTCGCGATCTGTGGGTTCGAGTCCCGCGTCGGGCTCTGTGCGAACAGCTCGGAGCCTGGAGCCTGCTTCGGATTCTGCGTCTCCCTCTCTCTCTGTCCCTCCCCCACTCTCACTCTGTCTCGCTCTCAAAAATAAATAAACGTTACAAAACCCCAGCACAGATGTATATTGAAAGAGATTTGCAATGGAAGAAGCTATAAGCTACCTACACGCCGTCAATAATAGAGTAAGGAACGTTAGTGACTGAAGCTTTGATGGGTCCTCTAGTGGAATTCTGTGAGCCAGTAACGAGGGGCGGAAGCAGGTGCACTGACAGGAAAGGACTCCGAAGAAAGTGATTCGTTCCTGAGGGCGTGCAGGAGACCGCTGAGGGCTTTTACTGCCCTGACGTGTTTTTGTACAGTGAGGGGGGGGGGGGGGGGCAGGGGTGCAGATGTGAATGTCATACGTTCATTTTGAAAGGTGTTCATTTAGCGGCACGTGGGTAACTCAGTCAGTTAAGCATCTGACTGTTGATACTGGTCCAGGTCATGAGCCGAGGTCTGTGAGATCAATCCCCGCATCAGGCTCTGCGCTCACAGCACAGAGCCTGCTTGGGTTCTCTCTCCCCCTCCCTGTCTCTGCCTCTCCCCTGCTTGCATGCACGTGCTCTCTTTGAAAAATAAATAGGGGCTCCTGGGTGGCGCAGTCGGTTAAGCGTCCGACTTCAGCCAGGTCACGATCTCGCGGTCCTTGAGTTCGAGCCCCGCGTCGGGCTCTGGGCTGATGGCTCAGAGCCTGGAGCCTGTTTCCGATTTTGTGTCTCCCTCTCTCTCTGCCCCTCCCCCGTTCATGCTCTGTCTCTCTCTATCCCAAAAATAAATAAACGTTGAAAAAAAAAATTAAAAAAAAAAAAAAAGAAAAATAAATAAATAAACATTTCTTTGAAAAGGCACTCATTTAAAGTCAGTAACTGGTGGGGGCGTCTGGGTGGCTCAGTCGGTTACGCGTCCCACTCTTGATCTCAGCTCAGGTCTTGATCTCAGGGTTGTGAGTTCAAGCCCCGTGATGGGCTCTGTGGTGGGCATGGGGCCTACTTAAAAAATAAATGAAATGAAATGAAAATCAGTAACTGACCAAGAACACTGGCGGGAGCTGGGGAGTGAGTGTCTGCTCTTTAGAAGCTCCTGTCCGTCCACAGGTCGTGGCAGGGTGCTGGCGGCTCCCCTGTGTGTGGCAGAGGCAGGCTGGGCCGCGGGGTTGGGCCGCCCTCCCCGTCCCTGGAGCGAGCATCAATCGTCCTGGCATACCGCTGCCGGCTGCCAGCTTGGGATCCACCCCAGCCTCCCAGAGCGTGTCCCCCCCTGTTGGCGAGCGCGGGGACCCTCCCCGTCGGCGGGGTCTGACAGGCCTCTGGAGCAGAGGCAGTCTCTCTGGGGAAGCCTCCGGGACCCTGCTGTCACCACGGCGGGATGTGGGGACACAGTGGCGCCTGCCCTTGGCGAGCTCCAGGCTGGCGAGGGGGCCAGGCGGGATTACAGACACACCGGGGTCCGGCGTTGGCCACGCTCTCGGGGCAGTGCAAGGGGGCACGTGGGGCGGGAGGCCTCCCGAGGTGGTGGCCCTGGGCCCAGCGTGCTCCCTGTGTGCACCCCGGTCGCCCCCTCTGTTCTGACTGCGCAGCCGTTGCAACAGGCACGGTTGTGGGAGGGGACCTGGGGCCCCCCCTTATTCTCATCATGTCTGGATGATTCTCGCAGAAGAGAAGGCCCTGCTGGGCTAGCGGGGTGTAGCGTTCACCCCTGCACGTTCCTCTGTCCCCCGAGCGCGGGGACCCCGGCAGGGCTGGGGCAGGGATGGGACCTCTGTGGAGGAGCCCCCTGGGGTGTTTCCGGGGAACTGTCCCGGGATCGCCCCCCCGGGAGCGGGGTGCCACCACGCGGGACGACTGCGACGCGGTCCTCGGAAGGCCCCGGGCCCTGCGGTGTCTACGCGCTGCACGGAGACGGCCGCCCTTGGGTCGGGTTCCGGGGCCGCAGGGTGACCTCTCCCCGCCCGTCTCGTCCCGCAGGAGAGCACTGCGAGGTGAACTCGCGCTCCGGCCGCTGCGCCAACGGCGTGTGCAAGAACGGGGGCACGTGTGTGAACCTGCTCATCGGCGGCTTCCACTGCGTGTGCCCCCCCGGCGAGTTCGAGCGGCCCTACTGCGAGGTGACCACCAGGAGCTTCCCGCCCCGGTCCTTCGTCACCTTCCGAGGCCTGAGACAGCGTTTCCACTTCACCGTCTCCCTCGCGTGAGTGCGTCCCGAGCGCCCCGCGGGAGAGCGCCTGGTGCTGCAGCAGCCGTCTCCAGGGGACAGCGGGGCGGCGTCCGGGGGCCTTTTGGTCACAAGGGCAGAATTGGGGGCCCTTAGGGTGGCCTCCTGGTGGGGACGTGGCACCTGTGCCCTTGGAGCAGACATCTGCTCCCTGCTGGCTGCCCTTTGAAGACGGGCTCCTCTCCGGGGGTCCTGTC